ATGTTTTATCTGTGCTCAGTCATTTTGGAGAGCTCCAAAACAGAAAAGGGAAGTTAAGGAGGCTTCAACATAGAGCCATCAACCATGCTAGCCTTGGTCTACTCTTATTGAACCAAAGAGAAGGAGGTTTTGATTGAAATGTACAGAAAAACTAATTGGTTTCAGCACAGCTTTTACTGGCTATGCTGTGCTAAGCCCTGAGAAAAACTGAGGTGTAACAGAGAGTGACTATTATAAGGTGCCTCAAGGGGGCCAAGCAGGTAAGTGAGAGGAGACACTCCTGGGTTGTCACCTAGCCTCTATCTAGCCTGTGGAGGACAGAGGGTGAAGCAAAGGCTGTCTTGTGTGTGCAGATATGGAGGGGAAACAGGTAATGGATGGAGAATGGGGTCTGCACTGTCCCCAGGACCATTGCACAGGACTCACCTAACAGGAGGGCAGACTGCAGTAGAGTGGGCTCTAGTGAAGCAGAGGGGGCCAGAAGTGTTAAATCCACAGGATTAGTCTTCCATCCAAAGACAGGGCTCTGGTTTCCCTCACCTCTGTTCTCTGAGCAGTCTGTGATATGGATTTTGTCACCTCAGCTAAGCCTCTGTTTTGTCCTCTGATGTATGGTGCTAGGGTTGCCTGCCCAGTTAAGAGTTCCAAGAGGGTGCTCTCCACATGTGGTGTCCTGAAGGCTGTGCAGTGGTAGAGACACCACTGAGGCCCTCAGATGCCCCATGTATGAACAAAGAGTAAAAGACCAGTGTTGTGTTTTACAAAAAGAGAAGAACTGGTATTTTTGGAGAATGTGCAGTCAGGTATGGGGGAAGTAGGTGCCTCTGCCAGCCCATGATGAGGCATCCCTTCCCCCTCAGGGACCAGCCACATGGATGGACATTATAGTATAGAATAGTTTATTCAGGGCTTGGGGAGGGGAGTTAAGAGGGTAGTAGAGACAGAGAAAAGTAGAGAGAGAGAGAGAAAAGAGGAGTAGAGGCCAGCCATGAGCACATGGAAAGAGAGGAGGTGTGTGATGAAGAGAGAGGGTAAGGAGCTGGAGCAAGGGAAGGAGAGCAAGAGAGAGAGGAGGGGAAAGGCAGCCCCCTTTAGAGTGAGTCAGGCAAGTGTGGCTGTTGCCAGGTTTCTGTGGGGCAGAGCCTAGACTAAATGCCAACAACCAGGGAGAACATATCACTGGCTGGGAGGCAGGGAAGGCACTCCAGGGGAGATACAAGCTGGCCCAGCCAAGAAGGTGAGGGGAACAGGGGCAAATGGCACACACTTTAAGGTCATTAAACAAATAGTTTGTGTTATGCTTCTGGAAAACTGAGAGTCCCTAGCATTCAAAGTGTGAGAGTCCCTGCCACCTCTGGCTGTCACCATGTGCTTTTACTGTCCTTGCAGCTGGGAGCTGATGTGTCCCTCTGCTGCCTGACAGGCTCCGAACACTCATGGCATTCCTGAAGGAAATGTAATCACATGGAACTTGAACTTCTGCACACAAACTGGTTGTTTCCTCTGTTTTCATAAGTAGGGATTGTGCCCAGTCTTTGTACACTGAGGGGCTTTCCACCACAGACCTGCAGCCCTAGTCACACACTGCAGTGAGGTTTGATTTTTAGTTAGAAGTAGAGTGTGCATGTGAAGCCTCAGCTTCCACCCTCAGCCTCTCTCTCCAGTACTGAGGTTCCCCAATGTGCAGGTCAGATCTGCTGTCTGTGGAGGATGCTGTGCACTGCAAATCTAGGGAGAATGTCTGTAACTCATGAGGGCACTGCCCATGTGAGCTTAGGTTCACACATTTTATTTCATCAACTGTGAGCCTCAGTCTGTGACAATCTTCAGTGTTGATGCTCCGTGATCCTATTATTTGGCTTCTTGAACTGTCTTAGAACAAATAACCCCCAGTAAAGATGTTTTTTTCTGGAGAGTATTCTTTTTCTGCTGTTCACAGGATGATTAGAAACTGCCTAATGTTGAACATTTAGAAAAGGAGGCAGAGGACTGGATGGCTCCCGATGAGATGCAGGGACAGGGTCTGACAGGACTCCATCTCTGATGAGATGCAGGATCCTGAAGAACCAAAGAGAGTGGGTGGGCTCTGGGAGAACACTGTGTCACTCATGAATTAGCCCCTGTCACATAGCAAAGGACCTGATATGGGAGAGATGCCCCTCCCAGTCATGTGGGGAGAGCAAGAGGTGCTGAGGTAGGTTCAAGAGAGTGGAGATTCATATCTAAACAGTGGTGTGATATTCATAACACTTCCAGTCATACCTCAGGTGTAGCACTACTGGCAAATTTGAAACCTTTCCAGTCTTACCTCCACATTACAATAAGGCTCACAAGACTCCTTATCTCATGAATGATGCTGGTCCCCTAATAAGGTGTGGATGAGAAGCTCTGTGTGTCACAGACACACAGAAGATTTTTACGATGTGTTCCTACCTGGTGACTGACAGAGCATCTCTTACAATCCCTTCAGTGTGTAGATTATATACAGTTTTTTCTTCATGGCCATGTCCCTAGCATGTTACATTTCCAATGGATACTAGCAGGACAAGAGGGCTCTGACTCAGCTAGGATGAGGGATGAGGGTAGAGCCAGATGACTGTCATCTCTAAGTAGAAGTGCAGGGCCTCCTGGAGGAGCATCTGACCTTTACAGCTCACTTCTCTGCAGAGGTCTGCATTGCAATGCATCGTGGGTTTTGTTTATTTGTTTGTTTTGTTTTCCTCCCTTTAGCTTGGACTCCAGGAGAACAGTCAATAAACCTGTCAAACCCCAATGGCTTGTGCTGTGCTCTCAGCAGAGATGCAGAAAGGTAGTCAGTTTCTTCTTCTCTGTGTGTTTCCAGCTCACAAGGGTTCTGATGAAAGTGGAGATGCCACAACTTTTCCTTCTCCTAACCAGCTTCTCTGATCTTAGTGACCCACCCATGTGTGGTCATTGTGAATATCTTGAGTGTGTGATACACACAGGGGCTCATGCATTTGAACACTTGGACTTCAGTTGGTGTTGCTATTTGAGGAGATTATGGAACTCACAGGACGTGGAGCCTCCCAGGAGGATGTCCATCCCTGAGGGTGGGAATTTAGAGCTTATTGCCCTACTCTGTGTGGTGTGCATACTTAATCGTAGCACTTGAGAGGCTGACGTGGGTTTATCTTCGTGAGTTCGACAACATTCTGGTCTACACAGTGAGTTCCAGGCTAGCCAGGAATACATAATGAGACCATGTCCCTAAAGTAAAATAAAGTAAAATAAATAAAAAGTTGACAGTCTTTCCCCCTTCCAGTACATCCCATATTTCTTAATAGCAGCTAAGATGTGATCTGTCCCTTGCCAGCACCTGCTTCTCTCTCTTCACTACCAATATGGACATCTATCCTTGTGGGGCTCTGTGAAAACCTGACATTCTCTCTCTCTCCCCTATCTGTATACACACATATAGACACACACAGACACACACACAGACACACAGACACACAGATACACAGGCACACACACACACACACACACACATACAGAGAGAGAGAGAGAGAGAGAGAGAGAGAGAGAGAGAGAGAGATTGACATTCTCTCTCTCCCCTATCTGTATACACACATATAGACACACACAGACACACACACAGACACACAGACACACAGATACACAGGCACACACACACACACACATACAGAGAGAGAGAGAGAGAGAGAGAGAGAGAGAGAGAGAGAGAGAGAGA